TATATATATATATGCATGCTTTAAATATATAAAGCATGCATGTTGTTGTTTGTAGCACTTGTGATGTGATTTGCCGAAATCGATGAATGCTGTTGTTAGTGGCCGAACGAGTTGTCTTTATATTAATTTAGTTTTGTTATTATATTTCTGCTGAGGTGATTACGATTTAATTAATAGATAAACGTGCACCAAGTATTTTAAAAATATCTTTGTATGCATATATTTATATGCGTGGATATCGCGGATGAATATTGATTGTTTACTTGTATATCTACTTCTATAACATGCTCATGCCCGTATTCTAACACACTTTCTCTACACTCATTTTTACTGTGTAGTATCATTTTTGTTATTTATTATTATTATTACTAGAATCTTTGAGCTTTGAGAAAGCTTTTACTCAATTTGAATTATTATTACTGTTGTTATTCTCTCGGTCAGTATTATTATTCTAGGTTATGCAATATTCGTATTTTTGCATCAATTCAAGTGAAACAATTGTGGAATTAATTCACTTACAATTAGTTGATTGCACATGGATTTTATTTGGGACTATGTTCGCAGGCTCGTGCACTCCGTGCCCACTTTTAGCCGGTGGGTAGACGTCATTACCCATCTACACAATCTCTGACTCTCATACCTAATCGGAACGAATTTATGAGTTGATTAAGAAGCTTGCCGCCACAGTGGTATCAAATATATCACTTTTTCTGGTTAAACAAGGATTACTGAACAATTATGAAAACATTATTAACATTATTTTGCTGATACTCATGACATCTTCCGGTTCCTTCCAAAGGGTATTACCCACCCTCGCCTTCTTCTGAGAAGCACTGATTTAGGTTGAGTAGGTAATTAAACAACACAGTTTTAAGACTGTTACTTTCATTATGTTGATTTTCAATATCGTTATACTACTACTGTTATCTTTACTTTTATCATTATTATTGTAATTATTACTTTATTATTATTATTATTTTATTATCTGTTTTATTTAATGACAATTGGTATTAATTGATTATTGTTATATTAATTGTAATTATCATTATTTACTACTCTTATTGTCACTATCACCTTCATCATAATGTTCCCTTGATCTCACCAACTGATGAAATAATTTGTTGAAATAATAAATAATTTAGGTGAGTGAGTAATAACAATTGGAATCAATGTCACAATGAGATCACAATCAAAAGCGATATGTTTACTGATGTCAGCAGTATCGGTGTCAGTGCTGTTCGTAGCAGAAACACATTCGACTGAAGATGTTTTTGGGAAGAAGGATAAAGAAGAGTTCGAGTCGTTGTCAAGACTGTTATCCGAGTTAGATGACCAGTCGGTATGCGACCGTGTCGTGTTGCATTCACTGTTGCAACGACTCATCGAACACCACCTCAACCACCATCACTCAGCACTACTGCAGCTCGCCACTCTAATCGCTCAACATCCCTACTTACATCCACTATCATTACCTTCGAATGCCACACTAACATCTCAATCGCTTATTCACTTTAATACCACCTCATCCAAACCAGCCTTCATAATGCACTTGACTTGTCAAACAAACAATAACGTCAACTATCAATCACAAGCTGTTTGGATTCCAACTCTTATTTATCCAACTGTATCACCGAATACATTTCTTACTATCACTATGCCACCGTTTCATCTTGATGCATGTTCATATTCAAAGTGCCATACTGAAAAGGTACTCAATTACTCACTTATTTATTTCCTAATGTCATAGTTCAAACATGAGGTCTACGCTATACTTTATTGATTTCATACTTCATTGATGTGGAAAATACTTCTCTGAATGACTTATAATAATCACCTGTTACTGCTCTTTGTTGATTATCTACGCCTATTCCACCGATTAGCTGTTATTTCACTCGACATACGTCGTATGTGAAGATGAATTTTCAATCGACATACGCCCCAGATGAAGATGAATAGTTCCTAATGATACTAATAATAACAACAACAGCTCTTCTCGAATGCATCGATGATAATGCTAACAATAACAATAATAAGCATTCATTATATTACATCATTCGCAGTGTTTCACCAGTGCTCAAAAGAAACAGTGTAATAGACATTTATCGTATCCGTCTTGAGATGATGAATGTATTTTGCATTTGTTTTAGGCTGTCATGTGCGAAATTAAACCAAATGGACTGCTAGTAATGACGACTGAGATGCTGTCTAATAAGTTAACTTTTATTCATTTCTCGACAATAATAATAATAATGAAGTGATCTAAATTGAAGTGCATCTGGTCAGTTCATGGAGGAATACGTGTATATGCAAAGATGTGTTGTTTAAATGAAACGAATGGTGTGTGCAGAGATCGCTCAGAAGAGGGAAGTAAGGGAATATTGGTGGTATTCAATGCGATTTGTGCGATCACTTGCATTCTACTCATACCAGTCATCTTCCGACAACGACACAAACATCACGAGGCTAGGGGATGGGCGCTAATGGAATTATTCCTCTTGGGCGCTGCTACCCTATACTCGATCGTTAGTTGCTTCGGTCATCGTTTTCTTCTACAACGAAAAATAATGTAACGGCAAAAACGTCATTTGTTGGGACAGTTCTGTTTGTAGAATCTGGCAGTGAACTTTTATTCACCACTTTTTGCAAATGAATGTTGGAAAATTAACCTTATTTCCTGAAAGGTTTGCCTTTTCACTCTCACGCAAACTTAAGAATATGTTCTACGTAAACAATCAGGCATGCGTAATCAGAACTGGAAAGCAAATTTTTCTTACCACGAATACATTTTTATACATTGAATTTTAGCTGTTGTTGGAATGGTGCACACCTACATTACCGACTTGCTGTTTTGTCGTCTGGTTAAGACAAATTGGATTTTGTACATTTTATGGATCAATTATACTCAAAATATATAGGTAGCTGTTAGTTGTTATTAGATTTTCTGCATTGTTTTGTCACAATTAATTAAGATATATCAGTTGAGAACGAATAATAATGTCTATGAAATTTAACAGGAATCTTCAAGAATATCGTGTACGCAAAGCTCATCATATGTTTGTGAAAGAAGAAGATCTGCTGAAGTATTTATTTTGTATGTTATCATTGACAACAACAGGACTGATAGCCTGGACGTTAGGTGCGTGGTCGGATGAGGTGTTGTGGAGCAGTTCATGGCCGCAGTGCGCAGTGCAGTTGTGGAGTTTGACCTGGCACGGCTACGAGTTGATGATGCTCCTTTATGCGATTCGGTTGTGCTATAAAGCACGCAATTGCAACTGGCTTGAACGATGGCAGTTCACTGTTGCTATTATTCTTGAGATCATTATTACCATTATGGCCAATCTTATTAGGTTATTCAATGTTATCTTTCATGCACCTTTATCATTATATACTTAATACTCGTTGCAATTTGCAGATACTCAATTAGAAACAGTGGGCAAAGTGACACACTACTCACTGTTACATTCGTACAATTACACCTAACTGTTTCTGTCAATATTGTCATCATTATAGCACCGAAGTTTTATCTGGTTTGTTGTTCATCGTATTATAATCAAAAATTAGTTAGTGGCCAAAATGGCCAAAATTTGATTAGTTTGATAACTTAGTTGATGTTTAGTAACTTAATTAGTTAACTTAGTTGATTAATTGATGTTAAGTAACTTGCAATTTCAGGTCAGTTCTGAGAGTACCCGTCGAACACAGACATTAACTGGGAATAGCGGAAGAGCACACCCATCTTTAGCTAAACTAAGAGATAATCTTCTGAATGGAACGGTCGATTTTGCTGAAATACCCATCGCTGATATGAATCCTGAAGATATTCGAGTATGAACGTTTACTTCATTAATTATTTCGAGATTTATAGGCTTACGTTTTCACGATGCGATAATCAAAAAATTAACAGTATATGAATTTGGTGTGAGGCTATAAGATTTCTGAAGTGCACTATAGATTTTACATGTTGATTAGGTAGTCAGATTTTGACAGCGATATGGTCGCATAATTGAGATGCATCCGAACTGAGGTGCCATATTTACTTCATAACCAGCAACCCGGTACTTATATATCTTAATAATGATATCAAATATTTTATCAGTGCTATTATGAAATAAAGCAGTCACCATAATATCACTGTTCCACAGGCACGTCTTGTCGAGTGTAATTGTTCTGAATTTTATCATTCTTTTAATACGATTCGTTCCACAGTTTTAGCAAGTGTGAAATTTTTTTTGAAATTATGACTTACTTTTTGAAATGAGTGATTCGAATATTCACTTCATAAACCACTTTGTATTATTTTTTGAAATGCGTTTCGTACAAAGAAGGTGACGCAGCCTCATTTATACAGGGCTTTTAGTTCGATAACTTCATGAGGTTATGAATTTCCATTATCGATTGGTTGATAGTTTCCTGTGACATGTTCGGATTAGAATTAAGTCGGTATCCACCAACCGAAACCGAAATATGCTGATGGGTCGGTTGTCTAAAAGAACCAATGTTTAGTGACTACTGAATCGCAAGTCTGTCTAGAGCAATCGACCAGCAGGCACGTTTTGCCACTCAACGGTCATCGATCAGAACTGAAAGCCACTAACTGATCGGTGGTCAAGGAAAATCGATTTTCAATGACCACCAACCGAAACTGGCCAACGTGCAAAATTAGACTTGTCGGTGCCCATTCTGCCGGTTTCCAACTCTAGTCTGAATCCTGTTTTCCCCGTAACAGACTTGAATATACTCATTTTTGATAGCGTGCAATTATTCATTAGCATCGTTATTGGCGTTCGCTCTAAGTGCTACTGAATTAATATGATATGAAACTTCTATAAAAAATTTTGCTGTCTATTCAAGATGTAGAAATATGATTATGATTGATTCAGATGAATTTATGGAGTGTGTTCCTTATATTACATAACATAGAAAATAAGTATATCAGAGTGGAATGATCGAGTAACAAATAAGTAGATGTAATTCCTTTGCACCTTAACTGTGCACTTCTTATTGAAAAGAAGGGAATGCTGATTCATGAATAAAAGTTTCAGGCTGAACTGAAACGAGTGTATACACAACTGCGAATGTATAAATTGAAGAACATTTATCAAGATAATCCACATATAAGTAAACGGAAAGGTGGAAAAAAGTCGAGCAGTGATAAAATTATCAAAAATAGACGTATCTCAATACCACCGCCGTCAAATTCTCCGAAGGTAACTTTCATTGAACCATTTAGCTATCTTATCAACTGTTCTACCAATAATATTCAATTTGTTGTTCAGCACAAATAATTTATTGCTTACGAAGTGAGTACGACTTAAAAATATTACAATGAAAGTTAAGGTTTGTCGGATTGAGGATGAAGAACGAAGTGATTTAACAGTAGAATCAGCACCTCACAATGTGTTTCTATCAACCTACAAACTACAATTGGAACCACGCCATTCAGTTCGAGTGTGATTAATATTTATTGTTACTATATATGCTAGATTAAATGAAAGTGAATGAATATGTAAAGTATGCTACCTGTAAAGAGTTCAGTTATGAGCTGCATCAATCTCATACAATCTAATATCGAATTTCCCGTGGAAATTCTGTTCATGGGCACTCTGCTAGTTCAGCTTCCGGAAAGGTCAAAGTGGATAAAATTTCTATCAAATCCAAGACCTCTCACTTGAAGGTCAATATCTGCATTTATTGATTATATTACGTTCCTTCTCTTCTATTTTTCTCATCCCCGTACGATATTGCCCTTTCATTATGCGTCGACTCATTTTCCATGAATTTATCAAGCAGAAACATTTTCTATGATAAAGGCAGAATTTAGCGGATGAATGCAAATTTAAAGTGTTAAAGCAGTGGTGCTCACGCTCGGGTACTCCATTATCCCGTTGGATGGTCTGGCAGCTCGTCATTACCCCTCTCTCCCGTCACAATAAGTTACTATTTCTGCACATAACGTCAGATCTAATTTCTCGACTCTCTCTGTCATCCCCACGACACCCCAAATTGCCCAAAAAATGGGTGATTTCCCTCCACGGGGACCCATGCGTTAGCGAAGACTTGAAAATGCGGTAGGCCCAAAAAAGTCGGAGACCTGGATATGGAGTTCAGAAAAAACTCAACAATTAAACGGGGATGACGAGCGATACAGGTGACGCAGTTGGGTCATGAAAACAGACAAAAGTGATGAATGGGAGCCTTCTCTTTCCAATTTGGAAAATATTTTGCTCATTTTCAGCATTCAGGCAACTAAACTAGAAGAATGCCTTTCCATGTAGTCAACTGAGCTGCTATTACGAGCTTACAACCGTTATGTACCATGTGAAATACATGAAAACGAGCCGTTCATGTAACTAATCATTTGGATGTAATATTTCATGAATTTATCTATCGTAACTAACCATAATATTTATAAAAGGTTCCATTCGATGTTAATGTAATTCCTGGTGTGAACGAACAAATTAGACTGAATAGTTTGTGAATGCATAAATTGTATTCATTGAATTTATCGAAGCAATAAAACCCGAATTTCATTCAGCATCTTTGGATGGTCGTTGAAGGTGATCAAGGTGAAGAAGACTTTCAGATGTCATTATATTGTTATAATCTATATTCTGGAGTTATTTTCAAACAGCTTCCTCGGAATCATTTATTGTTTATTGCAACGAACTGAGCGATAATAGTTGAACAAATTGATCAATAGTTCACGACCGATATAATTCGGTTGCAATCAGATCGGTGCAGCCACAGATGAGCCATGTAGTTGTTTGTTTTCGGGTGTAATTCAAATCATTAGGACGTAGATACAGTCGAGAACGGAAACCGTTTTTTCGATGTTCACAAGGCTTTAACAGAAAGGAGACGTTAAGGGAACTAAAGATGAGCACAGTCTACACTCAGCCTGTTTCGGTTACATTCAATTATTTGTTTCGGTTACATTTCAATCATCAAGAGTATGCCAGTCAAAAAATACGGTTTCGCTTAAAGAAAGCAATGAAACACAGGAGGATCGCTCGTTGATCTCGTTTTGAAAACGACAGTGATTATATAATATGTAGGCATGAAAATTGTGTCGCCACTCGGAAGTGATTTCATTGAAATATTTTCATTCCGATCTAATTGGAAGTGTTCCATGACTGATCTCAAAATATATGTTGTACTTGCATACCTTGGGAAAACATCATTTTTAGGCCATTGGAACTTTTGAAAAGAGAAAAATTCTTCTAAACCTTCAAATGGGAGAAAACCTAGGATCAGTCGAAAACATTGTTGAGAGATGTAATTCCGATTTGAATGAATGAATGGTTTATTGGGGAGTAAGAAATATGTACAAGCTATGATACAACATGGAAGGCAAAGCGTTTTTGTGATCTCAACACGGTTCCTGCCTTCCTGTAATTGGCTGCAACTGTGCAGCAGTCAACTTGAAAGTTTGGCAATTTAGGATGACATTTCAAAGTGTCTTAAACTTTCGTCTTAAAAGGTAATGAAAGGTGTTCAAATGTTATTTGTCATTTAAACCTTCATTAAAAATCCGCCATTAAAAAATTGTCATTAAATTGCAGCTAAAAATTCGTCATTAAATCGTAAAATTGTAATAAAAAATTGTCATTTGTCATGTAAAATTGTCATTTAAACTTAAACTTTAATGTGATGGAAGATATAGGGAATTATTTGCAGTTTATTGAGATATTTTGTGGTTTTTGTTGGCGGATTCTGATTGTTTTTATTATTGATATCTTGCATCAATCGTCATGTTTTTTTT